TCTAACATTCTCTCGGTTCATCCTACTTGCTCTCTCTGGATTCAGGCCTTGAAGCCGGGGCTAATTCCCAAACTGAAACAATGTCCCCGAGTCTCTCACTTGAACTCATGAGGTCCCCTGGCCAACTGCCACTTCCTCAAGGGGGTCTACTCTGATATGAAATTAGATGCAGTGCCCCTGCTGTATGTTTCTGGAGAACCCTAGAGTTCCCTTCTCAGAACATGCACCACTTCTCTCGAAATTGTTTAATTTGCCTCTTAAGACTAAGGGGCAGAGTATGGACCCTGGAGCCAGGCCGCCTGGGTTTGGATCCCAGCTCTATTCCTGGCTGACCATGTGATAACTGGCCTTTCTGGGTCTCATACTCCTCTTCTGTAAAATGGGGAATCGATGGTACCTACCTCTTATGATTGGTGGGCAATGAAGTGAGTTGGTGCATATAACCCACTTATGAGTACTGAGCACACAGTACCTGCTGGACAAGTACTGGCAAAAATAAATCACTAAAAAGCATAAGCATCTTCAAAGGCACAGCTGCTGTGGTTTTCCATCCTGCATATCACACCTGATGCCATGGAACAACATCTGATGCAAAGCAAATGCTCAATAAATACTTGGTGAAGTGCACTGTGCATGCCTAGAAGGACTTGCTTCAAAATTGCGTGGCCAGAAACTTACTGTAGAGTTACGCTCAGAACAGTGTATTGAGATACTTGTTCAGGAGAGCTCATGGCAACCATGCTTCCAAACCATAATGGGGAGTGGGGGTAACATCCTAAATGTCCACCTGCAGGGAACTGGTCAGCATACACTGGGATACTGTGTAGCATTTTAAAAGAAGGGGGCAGAACTCTTTCGGGTAATGTAGAAAGATTCCCAAGAACTGTGGACTGGGAAGGGCAAGAAGAGAGAAATAAACAAGGGTACTACCTACAAGCTTTTTGTGTCTACCTTTTCTAAATCTCTACACTAAATTCTTTAACAGTGGATCTCCATGGGGAGGAAGAGAAGCAACTTGGACTGGAGTATGTTTATGTTCTTCACTATATGAAGTATTCCATCATGTACATGCATTACTTTTACTTAAAATGATCAAAGTATGTTGCCCTGAAGAGTGTTTTATGGGGGCACCTGGCTGGGTCAGTTGTAGGAGCATGCAACTCTTTGTCTCAGGGTCCTGAGTCTGAGCCCCATGTTGGGTGTAGAGATCACTTAAAAAAACAAATAAGCTTTCTTAAAAAAAGGAGTATTTTGTGTTGTTATGCTAGACTGTTCTCTCTGGAACCAGGACATGCCAAGAGGAGAACAATCTGAGAAGACAAAAAGACGGTGAATACCTGGGAAGTAAATAAAGACGTTTTACTGGCAAATGCGCTGGTTTACTGACTAGCAGAAGGGGGAGGGAATCCACCAGGGTGGCAATTTCGGACCAGTCGTGTGTGTAAATATAAGAGCTAACGCTGATTGAGAGCTTACATGTGTCAGACACTGTGCTCAGCCCTTTCCAATTATTGTCTCATTTAATCCTACCTATGAGGAAGCACTATTATTATCCTCATTTTACCGAAGGGAAAATGGAGACACGGAGCATTAAGCAACTTGCCGGAGGGCACAAAGCTCCACAGCAGAGGGGCTGAGATTCAATCTCAGGCGGGGCTGCAGCCCAGCCCGAGCGCTTGTTAGTGACCAACAGACAGCTGCCATCGGGGCTGGTCCAAGGGAGGTAAAGACAGAGGAAGTTCTCCAAAGATCCGGCCAGCTCTATGCCTTTGACAGTATTTGGCATTTAATAAAAATTCCACTTTGCTTCTAGCTTATAAGAGTCAACATAATACACTTCAGTGGGTTCCAAAAAAGTATGAGCTGTCTCATATGGTAGGAAAATTATACAGCTAAAAGGTCAAAGGCTGACACACACCGAACAGTCAAAAGGCTGAAAAATGGAATGGATTAATGCTGGGCATAAGAAATTTCAACTCCAAAACAACAGAGCAACCAACATTCACAGAAAGATGGTTTTATATGAGATGATCAGACGCTCTCTGAAAAATGCTTCCCTATTGCTACCCAGCATGAAGTTAGGTTAAGGTATGGATGAGTTATTTCTACGATTTTTTAGTTATAGCCAGGCTATTCTTTTCTTAGCGTTTTCAGGAAAGAGAGTGTGAGATCTGAAAGTCAAACTGAGCTGGGTTTGGTTCCGGGCTCCAGTATTCTAACATCAGCTCTGAACCTTGAAAATGTTCCTAACTGCTACTTGGTCTTCGCATTCCCATCTAAATATTCGGTGATAACAGCTACTCTGTCAAAGTGATAAAAATGAAATGAGAAAACCAACGGACTCCACCTGTATATCACTTGTAATATAAACAACTCAATAAAAAGAGGTAAGCTTCCTTGTTTCCCAGACAGGTGGTTGTCTACGCCACATGCTTTTCTTTTTCAACCCAACACATACTCTTTGGGATTGCATGATTCCCACCCTTAACCTTTCCAAAAATGCAAATGGGTATTTTTTAGATGAGGGGATTCAAGCTCCCCAGACGGGCATAATAACTGATTTCAAATAAGGACAATTCACTTTCTGCTAATGAAAGGGGATTCACACTTGTTCTGGTCTGGGCCACTGGAATTTTCTTTTTTTTTTTTTTATTTTATTTATTTTTTATTAAAAAAAAATTTTTTTTTTCCAACGTTTATTTATTTTTGGGACAGAGAGAGACAGAGCATGAACGGGGGAGGGGCAGAGAGAGAGGGAGACACAGAATCGGAAACAGGCTCCAGGCTCCGAGCCATCAGCCCAGAGCCTGACGCGAGGCTCGAACTCCCGGACCATGAGATCATGACCTGGCTGAAGTCGGACGCTTAACCGACTGCGCCACCCAGGCGCCCCATGGAATTTTCAACTACATTCACATTTGCAAGACAACCTTGAAGAGGCTCCTGGTACAGCCACTTAGTACCGCCCCCCTCTTCCCTCACCTCACTCCTAGGCCTTAGTGAATCACCCTTTCTCAGATTCCCTTCCAGTCTCCCAACCACCAGTCATATCCCAACACTTCCAGGAAACTAAGACAATTGATAATTACCAATACTCAAGGGAAATATTTCTGAATTCACAATCAGGAATTGATTAACATCCAAACACAGCCTAATGTATATTCACAATTTGGAAATGGGCAGTAGGTACAGAGATAATGCTCTGCCCTTTGGTTTGATCCAAAGAATATCAAACCATAATCAGCATATACAAGATCCGTGACCCTTACTTAATTGTTACCCACTGACTGGAACAGGGGTTATTATCACATCAAAGCTACAATATCCCTAATAAAATAACAGTCTTTGTACCCTTTGTTTTTAAGTCTACTCTTGAAAATGCCCCTGTGATCACCTAATAAATCCAAATTTTAAAATGACTATGACCTACCATAATAATTTGACCAAGTTAATAATCTGACCTAGTTAATAGTATCATATTATGCTCTTCAGTCTCAAATAGTTACACTCAAAAGAACAATCAAGCTACAATGTTTCCAGAAAACATACATTGAATTTTTTCCCCACATTTGGCTTTGACCTTGCTACACCATTTGTGGGATCTCATCCTATAGACATATTTGCACTTGTGTGAAATGATTTATATCCATGTTATTTAATGCAGGTAGTGTTTTGAAACATTAAAAGTATTTATCCATAGGGAACTAGTTAAATAAATCATGGCCATGCTGATACAATGAGATTATACAGCCATTTAAAATACAAAACGAATGCTTTCTTACTGCATTACAAAAACCTATCAGACATCCTGTTAAATAAAAGACCAAGGTACCAAACAGCATGTATTGCACACTACCTTTTGTGTAAAATAGGGGAGACATAAAAACACATGCACAAAACACATTTGTTTATATACACACATGCACATGTATCCTTGTATTTACAAAAAGAAGTTTCAGAAGGGTGATCAAAAACTAATGGCATTGCATGTAATATTGACAAAGAAGAATGTAAAATTAGGCAAATAAAGATAGGTTTAGAAGAGAGATTACTTATTTAATACTTTGAAATATTTTGTTTCATGAACCATATACATGTATTATCTATTCAAAAAATGCATTAAAAATCAATTAGCGGTAAAACATGACACTCCATTTTCAAGTTTAAAACAGTACCTATAGGGGTGCCTGGGTGGCGCAGTCGGTTAAGCGTCCAACTTCAGCCAGGTCACGGTCTCGTGGTCCGTGAGTTCGAGCCCCGCGTCGGGCTCTGGGCTGATGGCTCAGAGCCTGGAGCCTGTTTCCGATTCTGTGTCTCCCTCTCTCTCTGCCCCTCCCCCGTTCATGCTCTGTCTCTCTCTGTCCCAAAAATAAATAAACGTTGAAAAAAAAATTAAAAAAAAAAATAAAATAAAAATAAAACAGTACCTATAAAGTCACATTTTGTGACTGACCATGACTCTTTGCCCTCTTCTTTTTTTAAAAAAAATGTTTTTAAAATATTTTTACTTATTTTTGAGAGACAGAGCGTGAGCAGGGGAGGGACAGAGAGTGAGACACGGAATCCGAAGCAGGCTCCAGGCTCTGAGCTGTCAGCACAGAGCATGAAATGGGGCTTGAACCCACAAACTGTGAGATCACGACCTGAGCCAAAGTCAGATGCTTAACCGCCTGAGCCACCCAGGCGCCCTTCTAATACCATGCATGCTCATACTGAAAAACAAGGCGTGTGCGTGCACGCACACAGATACACACATTTAAATTAATAAATTAATAAAGGAGAAAACTCTTGGAGAAGAAAAGTCCCCAAAACTATTTTTGAAGAGCTCCACAAAGCCTTACTCCATACACCTTATTTCATCAATCACATTAAAGTGAGCTGCAATCTCCTGTAGCTGATGAGACTCCTCTATTCACAAAACACTTATGCCTGAATGGCCCCGATCCTCCAAAGCGCCCAGGGCAGAGGCATCCTCACCACTGTTGTGTAGACATGCTCACCTTCATAGGTGCCGACTTCCAGAAGGGTCCCGCTCTGCTCGAGGTCCAAGAACTCCTTCACAGTCAGAAAGTTATAGTCCACGCCAGGCACTTCTCCTTCTCTGGGAGACCGGGTTGTGCCTGCATAAATGCAATGGACACCATCAGTCAATGCAAACAGGAAGTTCCCCATTTAGGTGTAATTAACATAACCTGTTCCATAGGCTGGAGGACCCGCGATGGTCCACCTATCTGCCCAGACCGGGACCTGGTCAAGGCACCTTCGTTCTAACAGCACAGCATCCCCACTTCCACCCTCTAGCGCTGGCGACCTTCAAGCGGGAGAAAGAGCAAACCAAGCACAGCTGGGTAGCCTGGGGTGAGTTTTATCATTTCTTAAAATGCACTGAATGAAAAAGGCAGACTGGATTTTACACGGACAATATTTACAACCAGCAGCTTTTAGGACTCCAGTAAATACTAAAAAGTTACCCACCTTAAGCTCAGAGCCTAAGACGTTTATGTGTTTACCACAGGCGTCACAATTCTTGTGTTCCGAGGTACAACCAGCAAGTTCCAATGTAATAAGCCGTTTGAAGAAAATGACACCCACTGCATCAACATATCACTAGAGAAACGCAATTACCCAAGATCGGTGGATGGAGATCTCCCAGGGTTTAAAATGCTGCTGCTCTCTGTGTAATTAATATGTTTGACGAAAAGAGGCCACCCCTAAGTTCTGACTGGAAAGAAGGGACACTGAATTTACTAGGAAATCCTCCTCTTGAATTAATATGGTCATTTGCTCAGTGACTAATGAACATAACAATTCTTCTAATGAGTCATACGGGGCCTCTGGAGTATTTAAGTCACCCCGCTCAGGTGCTAGGCTCCAGACCTATCATTTTAGCCTAATCTCAACAAAAAGTGTGGAAGGAATGAGGAAGGAATGTGGTTTACATACAAACCAAAGAAGAAAACCAACCAAGAAGCCATTACATAGTGTGTACTAGGAACTAATGTTAAATATTAGGAAAGACCAAAAGAGAGCCAAACACATGATTTCTGCTCTTACATTCAAGTTAGGTGAAGCATCTACATAACTTATTTTGCAAGGCACCATTAGCTGTGATGCTTTAAGGTCAAGGTTTCCTACATAATGAACAGGGATTCTTCTTGATTCCTAGGAACTTAGTACGCAAGGATTTCCCCCTAATCCTGGAAACTTAAAAACAATTAAATAACCAACTGTTTGTACCTTCTGGCTCTAATGTTCTACGATCACTTGCCTAGGTGAATGATCATGTCCATACACCTACGGTGGCTATCCAGAATCCTTTCAAGTCAAAAACGAAACAAAAAACAAAACAAAAAAAACCCACACACACCTCAACACTTGCTGCGTATTTAACTCGGGGTAAGTACATTTTAAATGAGCCTGATTTTTCCAATATCTGAAATCTGAATGTTTTAAAGAGTTGCACAGTGTCCACAGTATGGTTGTATTGCACACGTTTGCTTATCAGGTCCCACATACTAAAGCTTTCTGGTAAAGAAGCCTTCTTGTGTCCAGAAGTCTACTCTTGATTTTTTTTTTTAAATGTTTACTTATTTTTTGAAGGAGAGAGAGAGACAGAGTGTGAGTGGGGGGGCGGGGGGCGGCAGAGAGAGAGGGAGATACAGAATATGAAGCAGACTCCAGGCTCTGATTTGTCAGCACACAGCCCGACGTGGGACTCAAACTCTAGACTTTGAGATCATGACCTGAGCCAAAGTCGGACGCTTAACCGACTGAGCCATCCAGGAGCCCCCAGAAGTCTACTCTTGTACCATCTCCTAACTTCCCATTTCTGGCTCACCTGGCAAATGATACAAGTCCCTTTAGGTAGACTACAAGCTTTAAATTGCAATCTCCAATATCAGGCATAGAGCAGGTACTCCAGAACCATAAAGAATACCATATACTGTTGATGAGTAGGTGTCTGCGGTGGGAATGATAAGTTCAAGGCTTGCCACTCCTCCCAACAACCTGCGGTCCTGGGCATGTTGCTTAGCTTCTGTTATTACTTAGTTTTCTCATCTGTGAACTAGGCATAACAGTGGTACCTACGCTATAGGTTTGTTGTGTGCACTGAATGAAGTAAACCTTTTAGAAGGCTTAGCTCAATAACTGTCAGCACATATTAAAGTTTATAGCATTGTCAGAATGAAATGAGTTGACAGAATGCTATAGTTCAAATATTTACAGAGGTCCCAATTAAAGCAAGCACCAGTTCAGGCACTGAGGAAACACTGGTGAATAAGACAAAGCCCCTGACCTAATGGAATTTACATTTTACTGTGAAAGAAGAAAAAATGCATATGTGAATATAGCATATAATTACAGGTGGAAACAATTCGTCCATAGGAAACATAGATTAACGTGTCTCAGAGCAATGTAAGGTAAAGGATTTTTTTTTTTTTTTTTTTTTTTTTTGATAAAGGATTTACAAGTATCTTGGAAGAGGAGTGCCTGGGTGGTTCAGACGGTTAAGCGGCTGACTTCGGCTCAGGTCATGATCTTGCGGTTCATGAGTTCAGGCCCCGCCTCAGGGCTCTGTGCTGACAGCTCAGAGCCTGGAGCCTGCTTCCGATTCTGTGTCTCCCTCTCTCTCTCCCCATCCCTCGCTCATGCTGTCTCTCTCTTTCTCTCTCTCTCCCCAAAAAGAATAAACATTAAGAAAAAAATTTTTTAAAGTATCTTGGAAGAAGGAAGCAGGGTGGGGGGGGAGGAAGTTATTTTAGGTGGGGATTAGGAAAAAGCAGACTAAGGAGTGGCCACCTAAAATGAGAGCCATGACAAAGTAATGGGAAAGTAGGGGAGTGGTGGGGAGGCCAAGAACTTTGATGCAGGAACAGGCTCCGTATGTTGGGGGAAGGGCAGAGTAATTGTGACAGAATAACGGAAAGGAGGTTAGAAATAAAAGCAAGGGGACAGCTTAGGGAAGCCACAGCAGACACTTCGTATTTTATCCTAAGGAAGATGGGAAGCCACTGGAAGGTTTTCAGCAGGGTGGTGCTATGATTCATTTTAAGAAGATCATGAAGCTTGACCGAGAACAGGCTTTGGGCAGAGGAGCAGGAGGAGGTGGGCAAGAACAGAAGCAATGAAACCAGTGAGGGTGCTATTACAGGGTCCATGTGAGAGAAAATCATGGCATGGACAAGAATCGTAGGGTGGGGGGTAGTGCAAAGCAATCAGATTTCTATCATCCGTGGTGAATATTACAAATAGCTGTGATACAGTCCACGGGATAGACAGATTAAACTCACCAAGCCACACCAGGTCTGTATTTCGAAGACAGAACTTGTTGATGGAGTGGAGGGAGTGTGTAAGAAAAAGAGAAGGATAAAGACTGACATCCCATTCTTTGACCTGGGCAAAACAGGCAAATGGCCCGGTGCCCTTTACAGAGATCAAGAAGACAGGGGAGGCAGTGGTTCCTAGGGGAAAAACATTAAGAGTTCACTCGTGGGCAGGTCAAGTTTGAGATGCTGATTACACACGTAGATGCGGAGGGCTATGGACAGCTGACCAGGTAAGTCTGGAGATCAGAGTGGAGACGGGGACACAAAATCGGGAGTGATCAGCAAACCACTGGCATTTGAAGGTAAGAGACAGAGATCATCCAGGGAGAGTGTGTAGAAAAAGAAGGCAAGAGGTTTGGGTTGAACACTAAAACCTTGTAATTTTTAGAAACTGAGAAAGACCCTCAAGGAAAACTAAGATGTAGTGGTCAGCAAGGCAGGAAGAAGCAAAGGAAGACGGCGTGTTGTCTTGGAGCCAGGTGACAAAAGTTGTTTATCCGGCTGCTCGGAAAACACAGTCTCCACCATATTGGGAAATCCCAGTGTGGGGCAAGAACAGAAACTCTCTGAAACTTGCCGTGAAGGGGTCTGTCCTAAATGTGTTCTGTATGGCAACTTTCTACTCAGGCACCATACCATAAATGCATTAACCTAATCTATCCCCCAACCCCACCCCCCCCCCAAAAAAAAGATGAGGATCAATAAAACCAAATGAAAGATCTGTTGGGTTTTTGCGGTCTTCCAAAACCAGACAACGATGGGTTTTCCCCTCTCCTTCAGTAGCCGCCTTCTCTTTGCCATTGACCAGTTTGCCAGATTTCCTTTCAAAGCACCAGTCACCCCTGGGTCTTAATTTCCTGAAAGGATTCAAAATTACAGAAGAACTTCAAAAATGCTACATTTTAGAGGAATAATGAAACTAGTTGATACTCTTCTCCCGTGTAAATAAATATGTTTGGTGGCCTTTGAGCTGCAGGGGAAGGAGGTGGGGGGCGGGTTAGTCTCCACCCACGGAACCTTCAGAGTTTATTACCCAGACAAAACCTTTCTACTCTGCAGGCTAGCAGGAGGTTTACTCCCAGCTCTCCTCCGAGTAACCCGCCCTGGGTCTGGGCCAACATGACCAGGCTCCATTCAGTGACGCTAGGGAGAAAAGGGCAGGGGAGGGGACCCCGCCTCCTCTTTTCTTCTAGCAGAATGACAGGCTGCCGGCTGGACACACGCCTGGCAGATGGCATTTCAAAGGGTTTTCAGGAGCCATCTGGGGTGGGTACAATTATTACAAACCACACTTCTAACAAAGCCAGAAGGGTTACTTCCTGGCAGATGAGAAGTAAAACAAATTCTATCATGTTCCTCAGGGACAGCGTATTAAAAAAAAAAAATAATAATAATCACCAGGCTGACAAAGTGGGGTTTTCCACGTCCTACAACACTGCCTTCTGCTTGTCTAGCCAGAAATCGGGCCAGTGTCTTACAGTTATTAGATTTAAGCAAATAAGCACAGTGTTCACCTCCTTGCCTGCAAAAAAACAAACAAACAGAAAACAGGAGTGAGAGAGAAGATCAAACCGTAGAGTGGGAAAGGATAGCATCCATTAACTAGATGCTTACTTAAGGTCACAGGCAATGTTAAGCACTCCGTCAATACTCCTGGATTTGTTACAAGAAAGGTAAAAGCAAAGACTGTTATTATACTCATTTTATTGATGAGGAAGCTGAGAGAGAAAGGAAAGTTAACTGCCCAAGGTCATGTAACAAGGAAGCCAGGAAGAGGTATGGTCTCTTAGGAA